AAACAGCTCTCCTAATGTCTGAAAGAAGCTCCTTTATGAAAACGCTCCCGGTGATTTTCTACATCTGCGAGAGACGGAGCAGCTCATCTGACCCCGGAAGTTGTTGTCTGTTGCCGGGAGACGAAGGCAGGCAAAACAGGAAAGGAATCTAGTAGCGGACGGACGTTGTTCTGGGTCTTCGGTATTTGGCGGAGATGTTAGTGAAGCAGGAGAAGGGGGCGAACTAGAGGAAAAACAGGCAGATTCCTCCTCTATTTACAAACTCCTGGGGATGCAACAAGTGGTTGTGGTGCGTCGTCTACCAGATCTGACGTCGACAAATTTTTAGAATCGAGCCGTCGACGTCATCAAGGCTTCGCTACAGCCCTAGTGTGTGTGTGGGTGGGCTGGTGTTGGTGTCTGCGTGTGTCTGCTCTGTCTTTGCCATCCCGAGTGAGTCGTGGTGGATGGCTGCTTATACTGAGCTAGGATCCTCTGGAGGTTTCTTCCTGTTAAAAGGGAGTTTTCCTCTCCACTGTTGCTAAATGCTTGCTTAGTATGAGGATTGCTGTAAAGTTACTGACACTAGTCAGTGACTTGATGCAATTTGCTGGGTTCCTTATATAGGAAACTTTTTACTGATTGGCTTAATGACCTGACCTGTATTGGAATGTTTACTGTGTGAAGTGCCTTGAGATGACTCTTGTCGTGATTTGGCGCTTTATAAATAAACTTGAATTGAATTGAATCTAATCAACACTTAATACTGCAGCTAATTTAGTTGTAAGCATTATGAGCTCCATCCGTGTGTGTGTTTGTGTACACTTGTCTTTATATGTTCAAGTGGACTAAATTTGACTTTTAACAAGTAATGTGTGAAAATTTTTACATTGTTGGGTTTGTTTTTGCTGGTCCACACACAATCTAAGCACCCTGAAACTTTGTTTTAGAGGTATGGTGTGAATTCACTTTTCGTTTAGGTTAGGGTTAGGAATAGAACACCATTGGTTATAGTTAGGGTATGGGTCAGGGTTAGGCATAGTGGAGCCTCTAAAATGAATGGAAGTCAATAGAGGTCCACACAATCATATAAATCAAGTGTGTGTGTGTGTGTGTGTGTGTGTGTGTGTGTGTGTGTGTGTGTTGTGTGCTAGTGTTGGGATTTTGCACTTCTTAGGTGTAGCCATCCTTATGCTGACAAAAAAAGTAACTAAGTAACTTTTACTTTGAGTACATTTTGTTTACGATATGTTTTAATTTCACTTAAAATTTTGGCAAATACTTTTAGTTGTACTTGAGTAAAAAATGATCAAAGTATCGGTACTCTTACTTAAGTAGGAAGTTGTGTACTCTTTCCACATCTGCCTTCTAGAGTAGACCTGTTGGATCCCTTTCAACGCGGCTCAAGTCTGAACATGGCAGAAGTTGTTGTTTTAGGCTTTGTGATTGGAATTTTGAAAGTATTTGATTGATTATAAACAGATAAATAAGTAGTAAATGTACCAGTGTTGCTAGTTTGAACAGTTTTCATGGCTAAATGTGTTTTTTTTTGAGGTGTGCTCCACTGAAAAAACTTTTTATTTGTTATTCCTGATTATAATCAGTCACTCTGAGTTTTACATGCAGGCTGAACATGAAAATAATCTCCTTCACCCATCTCCTGCTTTATCTTCTGATAGAAAGTCAACAGTGAAACTCTAGGATTAGAAAAGCCTGACAGATCTTGTCTCAGTGTCACTTAACATTCATGGACTCACCCATCTTGACTCTCGACAGGGAAGGCTGTTGGTTTAGTGTCCAGGAAACAGCAGAGAACGTCTCAGCTAGTAGAAGCTAACTGATAGCAATAGCAACTCCACCACACTGTGGAGATGAAACATCAATGTTGCAAGTCATTTGTAGAGTTGTGCTGCTGTTATCCAGTCGGAGGCGAGACGTCCAAATTTCAGGAAGTAAGACTCCAAATCCATTAGTGTTAAGCTCTCCTTTGATCTGGTATTCTGCTAGTTCCTGAAACAAGTGCATCTGAGCCCCCCCCCCCCCCCCCCCCCCCCCCCTTCATACAACTTACAAGGCATTCATTCTTACTAAAGACCACTGCAGATGTATTGAATGAGTGTCACACACCTTTAAGCTGTAAATTCAAGAACTTGGACTGTTTTGTTTTTTTATTTGACAAAAACTGTGACTGTTGACCTGTAGCCTGCAGGTGAAGTGAAAAATCTAGTTTTTCTTGAATTGAAAACAACAAAACAGTTGAGCCATTTTTAAATGTAGAAAAGGTACATCAGGTGTTTCCACTCACCATGTATTTATGACTTATGTTGTGGTAATAACTATTCAATTTGAATTCTGTAGCTGATTGTCTGGTTTGGGGCAAACATGCTTCATCTCTAACAGCTACCACCCTGAATAAAGCTGAAACCTATTGTTGAAGCTATTATTGCAGCAGGTCTGGTGTTACTCACTTCCTGACTGTGTTTTGTTGCTAGTTTTCATAATATAACTGTAATTGTGGTTTAGATGGTATGAATGGTTTCATGTTTTGTACAGTTCTCTGAGGAACCTGTGTGCTGACCACCAGGAGTGGTTCTGCAGCAGAAACCAGGAGAACGGTTTCAAATCAAATCAAAGATACTTTATTGATCCCGGAGGGAAATTAGAGTTTCAGTACACACAATTCAGAGATCAGACATACATGGGCAAGACACATGACAAGAATTGGTGACTGTGGTCATTCGCAACCCTGAGTCGCGCTACCTTAATAGAGATAAGAGGGTTACATGAGGATTGGTTCAGGTGGAGGGAAAAAACGGCACTTCAGAGTTACCCTCCAGCAGGAGGGCAGCTTTGCTCTGCAAAAAACACCTCAAACATATATGCGACAGACTTCAGACATTACACAAACATGAGACTCCAATAGGAAGGTGGGGGGCTGGGATCCTGTTTCCCCCAATGAGAGCAGCCATCTACGGCGCTCATCTACTGTACAGTCACAGGTGGGAGGGAGATCTTGGGAGAAGCAAAGAGCTAGGGCTGTAGCGAAGCCTCGACGAAGTCGACGGCTCGATTCTAAAAATTTGTCGACGTCAGATCCGGAAGTCGACGCACCGCGCCCACTTGTTGCATCCCCAGGAGTTTGTAAATAGAGGAGGAATCTGCCTGTTTTTCCTCTAGTTCGCCCTCTTCTCCGCCTTCACTAACATCTCCGCCAAATACCGAAGACCCGGAACAACGTCCGTCCATTACTAGATTCCTTTCCTGTTTTGCCCCTTCGTCTCCCGGCAACGGACAACAACTTCCGGGTCAGATGCGCTGCTTCGTCTCTATCGCAGATGTAGAAAATCACCGGGAGCGTTTCTCCCTTCATTAAGGAGCTTCTTTCAGACATTAGGAGAGCTGTTTTGGTGGTAGCAGTCTCTCCTCCGTGCTGGTCTGTTTGCTGCTGGGTGTTTTTGGTTTATTTAAACTTGGTAACTTGAACTTAATGTTGGTAAAGCTACTGTTAGCATCTTCGCTAACAGCTTCTTGCGTTTGGATAAGCTGTTACGTTTTGGTTTAGAGTTCATCTTTTTTGTGGTGTAGATCTCCCTTTCATTACATTTAGAGTGTTGTGGGTTTTCGGTTTAGTTTAAAATATCACCTTGAGTTTGGTTTAACCCGTAAGACCAGTCGCCTCACGCACATAAGTGACCAAAACAAAGCAGCATGGAGACACTCCGTCTTCTACCACCTCTCAGGCAGCAGCCTGCACTCCCACGTTCTACACGTCACCAGAACATAACCAACCAACACAATAAAAGCAGTGTTATACAAAATGGAAGGCCTGTAGTGTTTATTCTCTTACAGAAACAATTTATCAATTTTTTGAGGAATTTATTAGAGATTTTTTGGTTTTTGTTAATTGTGCAATAGAAAAATAATCATTAGATAAATTTTCTAAATAGTCATTAGAATAGTCGACTATTCGATAAAATAATCGTCAGAATAATCGTTTTAAAAATAATCGTTTACCCCCAGCCCTACAAAGAGCACATTGACTCCTACAGATTTGGGGACTTCAGCCTGGCGAGGTCATCAATCAGAAGACGGGGGGGGGGTTAGGTTTTCACAGCATCTGTCTGCATTCCATCGTGGGGGTTTTATTTGCTCGCCGCTCAAGGCTACCAGGGCGTCAGATTCAGATAACACGACTTTGTTTGGGTCAGGCTGAGATAATTTTCCTCTCTCCCTTCAGTATTTAAACTGATCATTCCAGTCCTTCAGTGAAGCTAATTTTAGATTTTTAAACCTGTCCATTCCGTCCGTTGACTCTCTCCGAGATGACATCCATTTTGCGCACTAATACCGGTAACGCAGCTAGAACATTGTACAGCTTACGATTCACCTCGAGTAACGTCCCAGTCTGTGAGGTCTCCACACGGACGGTGCTTTCCGTGGGTCCGGGTCTCCCTCCAATCCTCCCGTCTTGCCAAATTTCCAGAAAACCAGATATCCTCCCACTCCAATCAGGAGAAATCCAGTGATCATCAGGCCGAATATCCACACGTCTTTGATATCCTCAATGGACAGCTGGCTGAGGCATATGATCTTCCACTCCCTCCAGGAATCCAAAATATACCCCACCGGGTGTGTCTCCTGTGGACATGTGGGAGCCCCCTGCTCCGTTCTCATTGTTGAAAAAATCTTATCGATCGCAGTGAATGACCAGTTTATCAGATCCATGGTTAGTAAAAATAGAGTTTTTCAGAAGAAATGCAGAGAAGCGCTCTGTGGGCAGACAGGACAAAGAGCCTTGAGAAAAAAAGATAAGGGAGCGAAAGAGAGAAGCGTCTGTACTCCTCTAGTGCCTTGAAGAGAATATGGGATGGTTAATATATGTATATATAAAACTGTAATTGTGGTTCTGCTTCTTCCCTGTTTGCAGTTGGCAGCCCCAGCAGCGTGAGCCTCCCCATCACCACTTTGTCGTCCTCCCCTCCCAGCGTCCAGCCTGTGGCTATTCAGACTCAGCTCCAGGCGCTGACCACAACCACCCCCATTTTGGCCACAACCACAAGCCCTCCAGCTCAGACTATCGCACCGCAGATGCAGCAAGTTCCTGTGAGTGGGTGAAGCCGACCAATTGGATGAATGGCGTGTGTGTGTGTGTGTGTTACTGATTTGTGGATATTTGCGTGTCTCTCAGGTGCTGCTGCAGCCCCAGTTCATCAAAGCCGAGTCCCTGCTGCTCACCACTCTGAAACCTGACCCGTGCATCGTCACAACCGTAGCCTCCCCCACGTCTCTGGCCACCACCAGCAGCCCTGTTCAGAGCACCTCCCTGCAGGTAGGCGTGCTTGGATTGAGACTCAAAAATGATGGCGTCTGATATGAGTTATAACTCTTCTTTATTCCTCTCTAGGCCTTTGTGGGCGGTGGCACCATCCTGACCACGGTACCTGTGATGGTGGATGCTGAAAAGATCCCAATCAACCGCATTGCCATCGCCGGCAAGCCAATGGGACAGCCTCACAAGGGGGAGAAGCGCACAGCTCACAATGCCATCGAGAAGCGTTATCGTTCTTCTATCAACGATAAAATAGTGGAGCTGAAGGACCTGGTGGCTGGAACGGACGCCAAGGTGGGAGACTGTTTATCATTTACACTTCTCAGTGTTCTCTGTTTATACCAGACTGCGTAGCAAAGGCCCAACTGAACGCGATCCTTTTTACAGTTGAACAAGTCGGCGGTTCTGAGGAAAGCCATCGACTACATCCGCTACCTGCAGCAGACCAACCAGAAACTCAAACAGGAGAACATGGCTCTCAAAATGGCCACGCAGAAAAACAGTAGGCGCCTTCTCCTGCAGTTGTTTTTGCCCCATAAGAGTATTTGACCTTTTGTGATGGGGTCAATTCAAATTCAAAAAAACTTTAATCATCCCCGAGGGGCAATTGTTTGTCAGCTGATGGCTGTTGTTAATCCATAGCCTTTATCTCCGTCCAGCTGCTCTCTACGTCATTCTTTTCTTCTGCCTTCAGAGTCTCTGAAGGACCTGGTTGCCATGGAGGTGGATGGACAGCCAGAAGTGAAGAACGAGCTGCCCACTCCCCCAGCCTCCGACGTGGGCTCTCCCACCTCCTTCTCACACTGTGGCAGCGACTCAGAGCCCGACAGTCCAATGGGAGAAGACACAAAGGTATTGATCTGCTTCAATAATAGACTTTATTAACATGATGTTATTTTTGTTTCCAGAATGGCTCACGCCTTCTTTTATCTCCCATCTAACAGCCAAACTTTGGCCTGCTGGACCAGCCTGCAGCCGGCGGAGGTGCCGGTGGGATGTTGGACCGATCCCGCATGGCTTTGTGCGCCTTTACCTTCCTCTTCCTTTCCCTCAACCCCCTGGCGGCGCTGCTCTGCTCACCTGGTCGCAGCTCAACAGGAGGCGCTGCAGACACCGCCCCCCATCATACCAGCAGAAGCGTCCTGGGTTTGGACATCACAGGCAAGCACTGGATAAACTGGTATTTAGGTCTGTTCTGTAGCTCAGTCAGATGCTTTTAAATGAGAGTATCTGTGTTGTGCACAGCTGACTCGTGGGGCTGGATGGACTGGATGTTGCCAACTCTTCTGGTGTGGCTGCTGAATGGCATCCTGGTGTCTGGAGTTCTGATCCGGTTGTTGGTTTACGGAGAGCCGGTCACCAGGCCTCACTCTGGATCATCCGTTTTGTTCTGGAGGCACCGCAAGCAGGCAGACCTGGACCTCGCTAGGGTACATTGATTTATTCGTTGAAACAAATCGTTAACAAGCCTCCCATCACTCACTTTCACCTTTGTCCTCTCTCTTCCCGTCCCTCGTTTGTGTCCCAGGGAGATTTTGCTCAGGCCAGCCACAACCTGTGGACCTGTCTGAAGGCTCTGGGTCGTCCTCTGCCCACCTCCCAGTTGGACCTGGCCTGCGCGGCTCTTTGGTCCCTGCTGAGGTTCTGCCTTCAGCGCCTCTGGGTCGGCCGCTGGCTCGCTGCCAGGGCAGGAGGTTTGAAAGCAGATCGCCCCCTGCAGGAAGACGCGTGCAAAAGCAATCGGGATGCTGCGCTGGTTTACCATCGTCTCCATCAGCTTCACATGACAGGTCGGAAGGTCTTCTTGTGTAAATCAGTGGTTTTGTTCTAATTAACCATCTTTTGTGATTATGACATCATTGTACAGTGGATCTATGATAAAAGCTGTAGTTGAATGATTATTTCTGCGTGTGAAGGTAAGCTGAACGGGAGCCACCTGTCAGCTGTCCACATGGCTCTGAGTGCGGTGAACCTGGCAGAATGTGCTGGCTCGTGTCTGCCTGTAGCCTCCCTGGCGGAGGTCTACGTCTCCGCAGCTCTGAGAGTCAAAGCCAGTATGCCGAGGATCCTTCACTTCACCTCTGTGAGTTCCTTCTGTTCGTGCGTCTGACTCACGGTTGCTTCTGGTGCATGTTTATCTGCTCGTATTCACAGGTTTAAGATGACGTTGTTATTGAGTTCACAGCAATGTGATCTTCTCTCCTGACAGCGTGTGTTCCTAAGCAGCGCCCGTCAGGCCTGCTTATCGTCCAGCGGCAGCGTTCCTCCAGCCATGCAGTGGCTTTGCCACCCACTCGGCCACCGATTCTTCGTGGACGGCGACTGGGCCATCCGCAGCACACCTAGAGAAAGCATCTACAGCCAGGCTGGCAACACGGGTGAGAGAATCTATCAGCTATCATTTCATCAATTTATTAACTGCTGAATCTTCGAGGGTGTCTCCATCTTCAGATGTTTGCACTCACAGTGGGTTTTTTGTTGAAAATGTCCTACAGTGGACCCTCTGGCTCAGGTGACCCAGGCCTTTAGAGAACACCTCCTTGAGAAGGCTCTTTATTGTGTGGCGCAGCCTCACGAAGAGAAGATCTCCAGTCAGGGTGAAGGGTGAGAAACGCATCGTCCCTCTGATCAGATTTACCGCGTATGTATTCTTAAGGAAGATGGTTATAACATTTAAACATCATGTGTGTGTGTGTGTGTCATCAGAGAGTATGCCGATGCCTTGGAGTACCTCCAGCTGCTGATCAGCGCGTCAGACGCAGCTGGCGCCACCTCCCAGTCTTTTGCGATCGGCTCCAACATGGCTACAGTGACTGGTGGGTTGTTGTGTTTTAACACGTCTCATGACCATCTCCAGTATTCCACTGAGATGGAACCGTTGGCGATGAACATTAAACGGTCTGGAGTTATTCTCGAGTCTTCTCCGAGTCCCACTGAGGCGTTGTTTTAGTCAGGACCTTCTTTAGCCCTTCTCTGTTTTGTTCCCATCAGTCAGAAAATGAAGTTCGGTGTGATTCTAACTGAAAATGTCTCCAGACAAACCCCAGCTACCGGTTTTATTCCATCGCTTCTTTGTTACTCTGATCCATCTGTTTTTACCTGAGAGGACTTGGAAAGGATTTTAAAATGAAGAAATACTCCCGCTGACTTTAACCCTCCCACCACTTCCCTTTGTCTTCTCCAGTCTGAGTAAAAGAGGGAGGATAGGATAGAGGGAGGCATCTGCTAGATTGCTTCATTAATCTTCCGCTCTGTCAAACGGATGATCACCTTCAGACACGTGAGGATTTTAATAGGAAAACACACGTCCTGGCAGTCTCCTCTTGCAGTGTTGTGGTTTATGTGTGTGATGTGTGGTGATCCAGAAAGAGGGGGTGGGAAATTCAAAATGCTGGGTTTTTGCATTTACTGTCATGTAGGTTAAACGTTAGAGAAGCATGTTTGATCATTTTATTTTTCACTTTTTTTTTTTTCGTTCTCCAGGATGTGACCCCCACTCCAAATGGTGGTCCTCAGTTGCCATAGTGATAATCAACTGGCTTCAGGGAGACGACGCTGCGGCAGAGAGACTCTACCCGACCGTCGAGCACCTGCCCCGCAGTCTGCAGAACGCAGAGTGAGTTACAGAAATGCACCCTGGAAGCTCCTGGTCCTGCTCTAGAGGGTGTTGTGTAACGTTTCACCCTGGCGCGCTTGCTCTGCTTTAACCTGTGTCCTTCGTCTGATTCCCCCTCTGGTTCTGGCAGGAATCTTCTGCCCAAAGCGTGTCTAAACACATTCAGGGCAGTCAGGGCTCTGCTGTTCAAGCCAGAGAACTGCCAGCTGAGTCTGAGCTACACTGACAAGGCCAGCACTCTGCTCCGAGACAGCCTCAACCTGGGACCACACTGCCACAGCTCCGGTTTAGACAAGGTACACACACACACACACACACACACACACGCACGCACGCACGCACGCACGCACGCACGCACACACACACTGGGATCTCTCAGATGATTAATCTGCATGTAAAATAGTGAGATGGTGACATCATTTGCATAAGAAAGCAGAAAGTGACAGACATACACACGTACATAGAAACCCGCACCAAGTTCTGATTTCCACACTTGCCCTGAAGCGATTCCACTGCGGGATGCTGCAGTGTCCTACCCAGTGGCATTTAGCAGATGGTGGTTCTGGTGGATCACGGTGTGTGTGTGTGTGTGTGTATGGCCAGTGCTGTGGTGCATTGTAGTTGCATTGCATGTGTGTCTTATGGGAGTGCAATGTACCTGCAGTGCAACACAGACCTGGGCCATGACCGTCAGAACACACTCAGGATGAATGGGACTTTCATGATCATGCAGGATTATCCTCCAGAACCTAAAGCCTCATGTTCACCATCTTCTCCTGCTCATTCTTCCATAGGTTGTGCAATTGCTGGTGTGTGACCTGCTGTTGGTTTTGAGGACAAACATCTGGCGTGTGCAGCAGCAGGGGGCGTGCCCTACGGGTCCTGCAGGACCTGTGCCAGTGGGCACTAGTGTCCCTGCCGGCCATCACCAGGCATCTCCACCAGAACTTCAGGGCTTTCAGCAAGATCTCAGCTCTCTACGCAAGCTGGCACAGAGCTTCAGGCCAGCTATGAGACGAGTAGGTCAAACTTTGACGTTTTTAGATTTCGTACTGAAGTTCAAAAAGATCAGCTTTAGAAACCAGGTGGATAGGCGAGGGACGACTCGAGACTCGGCTCTGTAAGAGGCACAAATGAAAGGAAGCTTTCTGCTGGAAGAGCTAAAAAGAATCTTCTTCACACGCACACACACACACTCGCACGCACACGCACACACACGCACGCACACACACACACACACACACACACACACACACACACACACACACACACACACACACACACACACACACACACACACACACACACACACACCCTGAGGCTGATGTGTACTCAGAGCGTTTTAAGTCTCTCTGAGGAAGAGCTGAACATTAGGTGTGAGTCATCATCACTCACCCCCCCCCCCCCCCCCCCACCCCACCCCCCCTCCTCACACCGCTCTTCTCTCCTTCCAGTTGTTTCTTCATGAAGCCACAGCCAGGCTGATGGCCGGGGCCAGTCCCACCAGAACTCACCAACTTCTGGATCGCTCGCTGCGACGCAGAACAACGCCAGGAGCCAAGACAGGTGACGATTTGCCATTTGAAGCTTTTTTTTTGTTATATCAGGCTGATTTTGTCTGCTTGCTCAAGAATAAACAGAACCTGTGTGTACAAGAGAAGCTTCTGATGGAGTGTTTTTTGTTTGCGTTGCAGAAGAGTGCGAGGCGCGGCCCGGCCAGAGGGAGCAGGCTGAGGCTGTGATGCTGGCGTGTCGCTACCTTCCTCCCTCCTTTCTGTCAGCTCCGGGCCAACGGGTGGGCATGCTGGCTGACGCAGCACGCACCCTGGAGAAGCTGGGAGACAAGAGGACCCTCCACGACTGCCAGCAGATGATCATCAAACTGGGCAGTGGCACCACCGTCACCAACACCTAGAGCAAAGGGAAGGCTGGGACTCGCATGTCCTGTAGAATCATCCGCTCTAAATGAAAGCGCACACAGACCTAAACAAAACCAGCTGTTTTTATTTGGATCCCTTCCACAGGCTGGCGTGACCCACACACCAGAATGCACTTACAGTCTTCGCTCTGTTGGGTGCTTCACTGTCACACATTGACCACAAGGAGGAGCCAACTTATCCCTGAGGTGGATGATGACGCAGCAAAGAGATGTTTGCCCTGCAGTCCTTCACAGAGCTCCACCTCCCACCGAGCCTCGGTGTGTGTGTGTGTGTGTGTGTCTGGCTGCTCTGTTGTCTACAGGGTGCAGCGTCTCTTTATCTGTGGGAGAAAAACAACCAAACTTTTGTTCAGGATCGGCTTTTGGAGCTGGTTGTAGTAGCCATCCGCTGCACAGGATTTAAATCTGAAAGAAAAGACTAATGATCCCCTTGCTTTGTCTGCACTACGCCTGTATGGCTGCTTTTAATGAGCTAAAATAATGACAATATGGCTTTATGAAGGTATTTTCATAGAGATTGTGTATTTGTTTTGCCTTGTACATATTTTCTAATGTATTTATAATCTGACAGAACTTTGATTTGGCAGATAGTTTTGATAAGCAGCTCTCTGGTATTCTTAGACAGCATTACAGTATTGTATCAAATACATGTCAAAACTGTGACATCATCAGATTATTAGGCTCTCAGCGTTTGGGTGTTGATCCAACTATGATATCTAAAGAAGGAGCATTCGTCTTTAACACCTCTGAAAGTACTAAACGATGCCCTGTTAGATCTTTAAGCCGTTACAGTTTCTTGTTCTTCGAGAACCACATTTTTTTTATGGATTGTAAAAATATTTATAACCGTTCACTAACATGATTTGTGCGAACCGTGGAGCTGCCACTGTCTTAAAGTACATTTCCTGTAACTCATTGTTCTTGTCTCTTGTTACTCGGTTTCATCCCTATCATGTAAATATGAAATCATTTTGTAAAGAGGTTCTACTGTAATGCTTTTATTTTTATTGGTAATGTGTGTTGATGCCAAAAGAGAAATAAAAGTATGTTCAAGGTTTTGGTGACGTACAAAAATATATTTATAAAGGACTATGTTTCAGTTTCATTGTTTAATTAATGTAATTAGTGTCTTTTCAACAGAGAAAAAAAGTTGAAAATTCTTCCAGTGAATCGTTAGAGTTGTCATGGTAACCAAACACCTGTGTTGCTTACTTTCTGGTGACATCGACTGGCAGGCGCAGACTGAATTGTAAAAGTGAACAGCGAGAGCTTCTGGTAGCAACACACGAATTTAGATGTTTCTACAGTGTTTTTACTAGAAGATATGACAAATAAAAACAGAACCTGCCAGCCTATAGCTGCAACGGCAAATTTGGAAAACAATTAGCTTAACCCTCCCACGGTCCTCCTCCATGAGGAGTGAGCACCACCTCACCCCTGCCACATGGACCTCAAGGGATAAACCATCAACCCTGCTCAATGGTCAACTTTCCTCGTGGGGTCACCCATTAGGACAGTGGGAGGGTTAAACATTTTTTCATGCCTCAAAGTTGAAACATGAGGCTGCAGTAGCTCAGGAGGTAGAGCGGGTTGCCTCGTGATCGGTGGATCATGGGTTCGATTCCAGCTACCACCAGGGGCAGTCTGCTGTTGTGTCCTTGGACAAGATACTTCACCCAACTTGTGTTGGTGGTGGTCAGAGGGGCCGACAAATGGCAGCCTTGCCTCTGTCAGACCAACCCAGGGTGGCTGTGGCTACAAAGTCAAGGGAGCCTCCAAGGGGTGGCCAGGAAAATTGCTGTGTGTGAATGTGAGAGTGTGTGAAAGCGTCTTTGAGTGACCTAAAAAGCGTTATATAAGTTCAATGTATTATTGTTATTACCATCATATATATATATATATATATATATATATATATATATATATATATGTATATGCATATCTATATGTATATATATGTAACTGTATATATGTGTACATGTATATATATATATATATATATATATATATATATATATATATATATACACAGTATATATATGTATATATATATATGTATGTATAGGCTATATATATATATATATATATATATATATATATATATATATTGTGGAGATTCAAAAACGCGGTTGCCTCGCATCTATCTAACAACCTGCAGTAACGATTGGACCATCTGGTTGTCGGTCTTGCCGAACAGCCACACTTCCCTGGGTCATCATTCTGTCTTGTATTAATTAGCAGCACAACACTGGTGTAAGAGGTTCTCCACTCGCCCTTAGAGAAGGAGAAACAGCCGGCTGCTACCACTTCAACTTTTGGACAAATTACCAGAGGCCCAAAAAGAAAAACAAAATGGCTACTGCTGTTTATTGCTATCTCCTTTCCTCTGACTATGTGGGTTTCTGGTTGCAGCAGAAACGTCTCAGGGAAGACACCTGAGGGGAGGGGTGAGTGTTCCATGATTGTATTTGTGCTAGCTTGTTCTGTAGATTCGCTATTAAAAAGTAAGTCACCTCCCTAAAACAGACTTAAGCCTGCACCGGAGGCAGACACGCCTCGTCGTCATTTTAAATAGAAACTCTTATAGATAATGAGAGTGAGCACACAGGGAGGTGCTGAAGATAGGCGCCAGTTCTATCTCAAGCACCGCAGCTTTACAAAGTTGTAAAATATTTAACAACAGATGTTACGGCATAGAGCGTCTTTACAGCACAAACCCAGCCGCAGTTTTGATAACTTTAAAATACAATTGATCTTTAAATATTCAAATAAATAGCATATTTACCCATTTTAATGAATTTGAGTCTCACAAAACACGATGACAAGTCTGATCACATATAAACAATAGAGTCACTTCCCGCTTTCTGTTCTCAAGACCCACGTGATGTTGTGACTATCGCGCAATGTTCCAAGAAGCGCTCAGCGAAGTGACGCGGCACGTCCAGTGTGACCACTTGACTTCTCAAAATCTCAGGCGAGATGCAGCATGGCTCATCCGCCTCCGGTGTGCCCTATAGGCTTTACTCCATCCACACTTCCTGTTTGAAAAATGAACCAAAAGAGGTGTTTTCTGGGGGACTGAGAAGGCACCCCCCAACACCTCCTCCCTAGTATGCAAGGAGATTCTCTGTCGGAGACACAAGCTGTTAACGAATACACACACTCCCTGCTTGGATGGAGAAATTGCAAAACACTTCCTAGTCTGGAGGATTTCTCTTCTCCACCTTCATCAGAGAAATTAAAGGAAAGAAGGTTTTGTGGAGGAGCTGAACGGCTCTGAGCCATGTCGGCTCGTGAGTGGCCAAGAATCTGCAGCTTTATTCCCCACTGTGGAAGTCCAGCAGACGTCAGGCTGTATTGGCCGGATCACAGTGCAATGCTTTAGCCAATAATGATGGCTGATTCAAATTCAAATGTAGTACAGCCTTTTAACCTGAAGAGGGAGCCACACTGACATTTGTAGGCTGAATAATTTAAATAAGATGCAATGACATACCAAAAATATTGACTACACACACATACAGCACTATTAGACCCTCATTTAAACAGTTTATCAGCAAAAAAGTTGATGCACAGGTGACTTGCTCTTTAAAGAGATGCTAGTCAGCTATAAAGGAGTCTGCAGCTTGGTGTGAGCTCTCTGCACTCAGAAGGGATTTGAAAAATCACAAAAATATCTAGATATTGATCTTTAATTAAAAAATTTACCAAAAACATGTAGTGTGTTTGCAAAAAGAGTTGAAAACTTTACATCAGAGGTTAGTGTGACATCATCAATTGAACATCTCCATGAAATGGACTGAATTATAAAAAAAGAACATCAAAAAGCTAGTTCAGTCATAAATTCCAGCTTTCAGTGATCTTGTGAAGTTCTACTGAGCTCCAAAACAGAGGGCTTTCCTCTCATTTTCATCAGAATCTTATTACTGTTTTTGGGGAATATTTTTACATATTTTATCTACAGCATGAGATGTATCACTACTGCACACTAGCACAAGGTAAATCCTTTGTTTGTGTGTGTGTGTGTGTTACTTCAGTGTAGAATAAAAAGAGCAGGCACTGGTCATAGCAGCGTTGAAAGGTGCTGGTATATTTAACATTGGCGTTACAAAAAACATCTCAAACAAAATGATGCTGTGTGTCATCAAGTCCAAATCAAATAGACATGAAATCAATAAAAAAGGCATGCTCCCACCTAGACGAGTGACATTCCCAAAAAAAGTTTCATTTTTTTCATCAATGGATTCTTTTAATAACATTTTATAAGCAATAACATATTCCATTTTATAGAAAATAAACATCTCTAGGAAATACTATACACAATTATATTAGTACATCACATCTTACATTTAAACAGCATCAAATACTTCTGTACACCATTAAATAATGAGCTTCATAAAAGAGAAAGAGAGTTTGGTGTTTTTGCACTTTCTTTTCTGCTTTAATACTTAATTATGTCCCTTTTTCATATAGCTGATGATGCTCTGCACAGTGCAGCTTTATATAGCAACAGCAGAGTGTGTGTGTGTGTGTGCGTGGGGGAGGGGGGGGGAGCTACATTTTTAGATACACAAACATACAAAACGTGGTATGGAACCTAGTTTGAATGCACTTCTTCCTGTGATGTGTGGAATAATCATATGAAACATTTTCACGGTTAATTCCCCTGAACTGTACACGGTTACGAAGCAACCCTACTCTTGATCCTTGACGAGTGATGGTGGCTACTGTCCATACTCAATGTGCACACAGTTGAATTAAATGCAACAGAATTCTTATTTTTTAATCATTTTCATATCTATATATATATTTATATATATTTTTTAAATAACACAAAGCCTTACATATACCAAGGGTGATGTGATGATGTTAATGCACACCAAAATACACCTTCAAAGATATGATGATAAAATACTGCGTCTGTTTTTTCACAATTCTGTGATGTCAGAATATTTAGAACCTGTAAAGAACATCGTCATCATTACAGTTTCCATATTTTGTTTTAAACACAAACATTGAGATAGTACATCCAGTGGTTGGCTGATGCTTTCGTTTTTTCCCCTTCCTTTTTAAATTTTATTTTTTCTAATGGAGGACATCCTCAGACACATGGTGATGATGTGGCTATGGAATGACAATGGTTAACACACACACACACACACACACACACACACACACACACACACACACACACACACACACACACACACACACACACACACACACACACACACACACACACATACACACACACACACACACGCACGCACACGCGCACGCACGCACGCACGCACACACACACACACACACACACACACACACACAAAGCTGCGTGTATGCACCTGTTGGCTCAAAGACAAGGTGGCCAGAGGATGCTTCTGTCCAATCAGTGTCCACCAGCTGTGTGAGGATGATAGCAAACCCATCTGACGGGAGCACACACACACACACACACACACACACACACACACACACACACACACACACACACACACACACACACACACACACACACACACACACACACACACACACACACACACACACACACACACACACACTCACACGAGTTCCTCACTTGGAATTTCAAATAGTTTGAAACAAAGCACATCCTCCCGCTAAACACAGACCACCTTCTGCCTCGCAGGATAAATACAAATTTCTGGTCTGGTTTCAGGAAGCAGCCGCTCTCCCTGAAGTGATTCCTCCGGGCCCCTCGGTGCAGATTCTGGCCGACAAACCTGTCCATTCTCGGTCCGTATAAGTAGCTGCTGCGACAGCTCTCTGCTGGATAGGGTGGCACGACGATGGTTCTGGTAGTAAAGATGGCGCACGTGAATATATTACAGGTCCTGCAAAGGAAAGGAAGACAAAACACAAACTTTGTTTATGTCCTGTTTGTAATTTTCTAAATTCCCAACACACAATCTGCCTGTGATGCAGGCAGAGAGCCTCCATTGCAGAAAGGCCACTCTGAATGTTAGGCTCTCAGTGCAAATCTGCAAAGAAGATCAAAGCATGCAGCTAACCAGCATCTCTATGAAAGGATCGTGCTGGCAGTGAGATTTCATATGTCCTCCTCTTTCTCTCTAAACACCCGTCTGTCTGTCCTTACATCCTCGATGCTTTCCACCTCAGTTTTCAGGGATTTTCTCTCTTTTCAGCTCTTCTTTTCTTCCTGCCTCCCCCTCATGTAACTGCCCCATTCGGCTGCTGTTCAAGCTTAGATGCAGCTCCAAACAGGCTGCTTTTCCTCTTCCTGTCTCACTCTCTCACATGCACATGTGTTTTTTATTTTCTCAGAGCAGCGTACAGGCAACCTGCTAATCACCCTGCAGAGGTGCATAGATCCTCTGTGCTTTAACGCAGGAAAACCAGCAGCGGAGCCAGCACATGAACCTGTTTTTTTATCAGCTTTAAAGTAAACACAGGCAGAGGGAGAGTTCTCTGATGGGGTACCCATGGGTGGGGAGCTGCTGCGTGTACGTGTGTGTGTGTGTGTGTGTCCTCTTCTCTTTGATTAGACTGTTCAGCCTAAATTGGCATGGCACAGACCTGTGCACACAGACATATACACATACTCTGTTTCTCACACTGTTTCTGCTGCTCAGACGTGGGAGTTTAGGTGAGGTGAGGTGGGGCGGGGGTGGGGGGGTTTAGAGGGAAAAGCGGGAGAATGGGATAAGAGAGGATGAAGGGAGGATGAGCAAAAATGGAAAATGGAGCTCATGTAGGATATGAGAGGTGCGCAGAACGAGTGACGGAGAGCGCTGGAAGCAGCGGGGGAGCAAATGTAAGACTTAAAATAAGGGTAGCAGGAGGAAAGGAAAAAAGGAAGGAAGGGGGTGGGGAAGGAGAAATAATGAGAGGAAGAAGTGGAGAGTTATGGTGGAGAGAGCATGTGGGGTGGATAACAGGCACTGATGGTGGGTGGGGTGTTTTGATCAGTTGCCAGCTTTTCATCCCTACCAGTCTGCACAGAGGAGAGCAGGAAAGGAAGCGGGAGGGAAGGAGGGGAGGAAAATGCAGATGCTAGGGGGGTAGAATGAAGGAAGGGGGGAGATGGGTGCGACTGATGCCTCAATGCACTGCTGCTCTCTGCTGAATGTCAGCATCTCTAACTCTCTCCACCACCCCCTGCATTTGACCTTCCTCTCTGCGCTGCAATGATAATGTACTGCCACCAGATGGTGTGGGTCCCAAAGGAAACAGAAAACGTTCATACCGTATTTAGAGAAAATAGCGGTAAACCGCTGTAATTACAGAGAAGTAGGGTGGGACCAGAGGCAAAGAGGTGGTGGCGGAGGAGGAACATCAAAATGCAGCTCGAAGAGCAGGGCAGAAAGATCATAACGTATTTAAATCAGCACACAGCTACTTTAAAACATATAAACTAAGGGTTTATGCACAAAAGGGTGTAAATGGGACTAGTCAGCATTTTTACGTCAACCTTTTCACTGATGTAGTTCATTATCGCCCCTCTATAACTATGCTTCTCAGGGTTCTTGACTCCAGTAAACAGATCATCTGAAGTTTATTCTATCCTGCTAAAGATTTTTTTTCTGTCTTTCCTTGAAGGAAACTTGTTTTGTTTCTAATATCTCTTACAGCCTCTGAGCTGTTCCCCATACTCTATTTCTATTTATAACCAACTCAGCAGCACATCAATGTTTTTCAGAGCTGGATCGTTTAAACAGTACAGCTGCTGCAGCATCATTTGACGGACACCCAATCCCAACCTCATTACTGGTAATTATTTACTTATGTAAAACTGACAGTGTGTAAAGGTTTATATGATTTATTTTGAATTCAACATTGAGAAATCTTAGAGCATGGGGTTGTTATAAGAAGACAGAAATCCTCACTGTCCCCAGTCCCACGTGGACTAGCTGTTACACACATGTGGAGAAAGCTCTTGGTGATCTTTCATCATAGAAAACCCACGGTGATCACTCAAATAACTTAAAACTGACAAAAGTAATAATTTACACATTCTCACTCAAAATTAACTCATGAAAGTCAGACGATGACATTGAATTGGAGTTGAACAGAAAACTTGAAAGATAAGTTAATAAAAAACGACGGCACTTTTACTTTCACAACATTTGGAGACAATCGGGTGATTTCTGTAGCTCTCACTGAGACGTCTGCACCTGTCCACAGGTGTTCTGGTCCACAGCTAATGAGCAAACTTCCTTCTTACTCCAGCTCCGTCTACAGATTTTCTTCAGGATCTAGATCAGAGTTCATAGAAGGCCCCTTCAGAACGATTTAGTGTTTGGTTCTGATCCACTCTTGGTGTTCCTAGATGTGTTTGGGTCATGATCCTGTTGGAGGACCCGTGACCTGAGATCAGGTTTCCTGACTCTGAGCTGAACAGATTCAGGACACCGTCGACCAGATGCAGCAGAGCAGAACAGAATCGAGCCTCCTCCAGCGTTCTTCTCTTTGATGTCTCATCTTTGTGTCTGTGACCATAGAGCTGATGGGTTTCGTCAAAAAGCTCCAGATTTGTCTCATCTGTCCAGAGGACATTCTCACACAAGCGTTGAGGTTTGTCAACGTGCACCTTGGTGAAAACCAGTTTGGTGTTCAACAGTGTTGTCCTCCTCAGCTGTCTTCCATAATGTCCCTTTTGTCCAAATCTGATGCTGGTGAACTTTGACCTTGAAGTTCACCTCTAATCTTGTTGTTCTGGAGTCTTTGGGAACATTCAGATTATCCATCTCTTCAACTTCCTCCTCTTGTGTCCTCATCCAGAGAGGTTGTCCACAGTATGTCCAGCTTTAGTCAAAGGAATGTCCAGCTGTCTGGAGACAGTCTTCCAGTCCTAAGCTTTAACATGCTGGATAATGATTCCCTAGTCTCCTGAGACAACTCTGTCCTCAGATTCCAGTGGTCCATGTTCAGTGTGGTACACACCCTGATACCAAACAGCACTGTGACTACCTTTCATCCTTTAACAGACAACTGACTGATAAGAAGATAAATGACACCTGTGATGTTGGTCACATGACACACCTTGGTTTACCATGACCTTGTGGTCCAAATGGTTTCGGTCTGGAAGTAAATCTTAAAAATGTCTCAAATAACTCTCCTTTCTTTCGTCTTAGGCCCAGTTCCCACAACAAGATTTTTGAATAGTTGGGGTGATTTTCAAACCAGATAAACAAGTTTGGACCTACCGTGTATGGTGTGTGACAACATGGCAAAAACTACACACAGCCAATTTCACACATGAACAATCTCCAGTCACAAGATACAACACGAGCAGTGGAGGAGACATTTAACAGGCAGCATGCTCGTTGGTTCTCAAAAATCAGACCAAGACAATCCAACATGTTTGAAAACTTGGATTTATGAGTGGTCTAACCAGTACTCGAACAGCACTCCTAACACACCACACACAGCAAGAAAATCTGTTGAGATTATCTTTAGAGCCATTACGATAATAGGGTGAATATTTAATTCAATTCAATTCAATTCAAGTTTATTTATATAGCGCCAAATCACGACAAGAGTCGTCTCAAGGCACTTCACATAATAAACATTCCAATTCAGGTCAGTTCATTAAGCCAATCAGGAATAATTTTTCCTATATAAGGAACCCAGCAAATTGCATCAAGTCACTGACTAGTGTCAGTGACTATACAGCAATCCTAACAGTCGGAAAGGGGAGTGGCTGATCACAAATTGCCATGTAATTCTCTCATGCCGTTAAAACAAGTTTAAATCAATTTGATTAAAAATGACAGAAAAAGTTTCATTTTCTTACCTCGTGTTTGGGACATTTGATGGAAAAGTCATCCTCGTGGAATGTGCAGCCTAAAGGCAGACAAACGAAGAAGGCAAAAAAAGTAGATAAGAGAATGGCAATGCAGATAGACAATATTAATAAATCATACACATACCATGGGATGGAAATGCACAAAGACCATGAGTGGCAAAACCCATGTAAGAGGCAAAAAGGTAAGAGTAAAAAAAAATCTAGAAAGAAGCAGGAAGAGAGGGAGTGCAAAAGTGAAGGATAGACTGAGTGGATGGGTTGCAGTGCAGATATGGCGGGTGCACTCAGCAGGATTAAAAAGGGCCTCGCTCTGCTCCCTGTGCTGGCTCCGCAGACGTGGCAGGCCTTCTAATCTTCACACTGTACCTCTCTGGCATGAGGTAAGCCATGTCACACATGTGCTGACACTTGCAATGACAACCAGGAACACACACATAAGAACTAAAGAAATATATGTAACATGACTGTAAGATGAGCATTTAAGCAAGTGTTACACACACACATTCGGTTCCCCAACAGCAGTATGGATGGATGGAGCCACAGGGGTTGTGGTCAATAATTGCATGCACACACACACACACACACACACACACACACACACACACACACACACACACACACACACACACACACACACACACACACACACACACACACACACACACACACACACACACACACACACACACACACACACACACACACACACACACACACACACTCCACTTTCAGTCTCTCCATTTTCTCCTTTCAGACTCCCACTTTCAACATCCCTATTATTCAAAGCTGCCTCCCTTCTTTTGGTTTTGCACTCCCCCAGCACTCAGATATATCGTCTCACGCTCAATAATGCAACTCCTTGATGCATTTTCCCTCTCATTTCACTATCATCCACTCACCCTCTATTTTTAGTTGTTTTTTTTTACTCTCCTTATTCTGCCTTTAGCCAGTTCCCCTCACAACCCGGGCTAACTTTCATCTCATTCCTACTCCTTTTAACATAACTTGCTGTTTCAACTCTTGTTTCTCTCTTCCTCTCCCACCAGAGTCTCTTACCTATCTCTTTGGCGCAGACATAGTGGTATTTATAAGAGCATCCTCTCCAACAGCAGCTGAGGGACGCCCCTGCAATCTGGCACTTGTAGCAGCTCTGGGGTTCATCAGACAAATGAACATATGGAACAGGACCAATAAAGAAACCAACAAAATGACCAATGTAGGCGATAGGGAGAGAGAGAGAGACAGCGAGAAAGAGAACATAGGACATGTTAAACATTTGCAATAATCTGAGCAGTGTTTTCTTGTAAGAACGAAGAATAGTTTAAGACGTGCTGATGATAAAAGTTCCTGTACCATTTGGGCTGACTTGCTGGCAGCTTCCTTCAGTCCGTATAGTCTTGCAGCTACCATAACTATCCCCTTGGTCCAGATGGCACAGTTTTCATGAACCCAGTGTTCCTCGGCCTCTACTTCCATCTGTAGCCTTTGGAGCTTGCTTTCATTGCCCTCTTCATCCCTTGAGGCCTCCGTGCTGATGGTCTGGAGCTGTTTCATTCTTCTGAACCTCTCTCTTAGAGTTAATCTTCGTGGACGACCCTCTTGACACAATCGTTCTGGCCTTTCTAGCCGTCGGTAGCGCCAGTGGTGGTGCTTGCTGCTACTTGCTCCCTGAGAGGAGGCTTCTGTAGTTTCCTCCTTCTCTGAGGTTGTTGCACCTTCACTATTTGAAGAGGTGCCTGGCACTTCAGAGACACTGCTGTCGTCTCTGTTGGACTTGTCTGATTCTTCCCTGAAGGACTGTGTGTGCGGGATAGTCAAAGCTTTCCGTGGAATGCTGTCCTCGGCATAGTAGGGTCCACACAAATCACCCAAGTCTTTGTAATTTGCTGGTTTTCCACACAGCGAACATGCAAGACATCGGCCAATTAGGTTTGTGTTCACCATGGGCCCCAGCAGCATGGCTGCAGTGTGTGGCACGACCTTTGCTACAGTGAAAGGATTCCTCATTCTGAGAATGCCTTTTTTTCTGCGTCTCTGAAACACCACAGTGTCCTCAGGTTTGTTGACTATGGCACACCAAGAGGAAAAGTCCCTGGAGTTGTTTATCCGTACATAAGGACAAAAAGACAGTTTAGATGACTGATAGATTGGTTTGCGTCTGATTCTTTTAACAGAAATGAGCTCATTTTGTTTTTCTGTGACGGTGTCTACAGGGCCCACAACGCATGTCTCTTGATTCTCATCAGTCTCCTTTTCTGTTCTTTCTCTTTCTTCTTTCTCTCTCTCCTCTTTTTGTTGCTGTTCACACCCAGCTGCCCTCACAACTGCCTCAATGACCTCAATGGCGTCTTTCATTCCAGGTTTTGGACCAGGTTTTTTGTGGACCCTCACTGGCTTGCCAAGAATGTGCTCTGTTGAGGGCTTGCTTCTTTTCTTTTTGCTTGGGTTTGCCGATGGTTTTCGACCTCTTCGAGGTTTCTGAATGAGCTCTGTACTGACAACCTGGGGGGTTTCTAGGACCTCATCCTGGATAATTGGTGGCGGTATTGTGGGCTCTGTGTTTATTACCGTTTCTTCCACTGTGTCTTGGCTTTCTGCAGTTTCATTGTTTGCCTCCTCCACTGTCTCTGTCACCTCTAAAGGGGCCTCACCTTTTCTTTTCTTCCTCCTCTGTTTAAGGTGCATTTCATGGTTGTTTTTAATAGCCCTCTGTTTGGCAAGCCTTGGTGTTGTAATTATTAGGCTATCTGCTTCCAAGGCCACTACTGAAGCATCGGTACTCTCTACCATTGCCCATCTCTTTCTTTTAGTTCTGGCACACTTGGTGGCAAGAGTCGATACAATCTCTGATGCCTGTTCTGTCTTCTCATCTGAAGCCTCAGCCTCTGAAGGTGTCTCCACTGAAGTACAAACCTTATCATGGACACAGTCCTGCTGGGTTTTGGGTTTAAACTTTTCCTGACTTGTACCATTTGCTTGTTCAACCTTCTTCTCAACCCTTTCTCCTTCCACCTCTTGTGCTGGTGCCTCTTGACTCACTTCATGTTTTTCACTTTCTTGTGATGTTTCATTTTTCACTGCCTCCCCATGATGTTCTTCTCCATCTTTAGCACATTCTCCCATCTCAGCGCCACTTATCTGGGCAGAAGTTTCTCCTTCCTTCAACACAATTTCAGACAATGCTTTAGCTGCCACATTGTCATTTGAGCTGATGTCTTGTTGTGGAGTTAGGATGTGTTTCTTTAGGCTAGGAGATGCAATCTTCTGCACCATTGCCTCGTACTTTTGGCCTCTGCCTTTCCGAGGCGGGAGAACTTTTGTTTTGGTAGGAGCTACCACATTCACCTCACTGATGGTGGAAGGTCCACTGATGTATGGAGCAGTGCCTTTGGTTATGGGTGTGACCACAGGGATTTTTTTAGGTGGCCCTCTCCTTCTTCTGGTGCCTCGGACACTTTTGTCTGTAGGGACAATCTGTTCTTGCAACGAAGGTTGAGGTGGCAATGTTTTTGGTTTGGGCTTTGGACCCCTCTTTCTCTTCACTTGTATAGTGGAAGGTTCTGGGCTAGATTTCCGCTTTACAGGAGGGAGTATCTTTACCTTTGTTTCCTTTGATTGGACCGGCAATGTGGGTGGTGAATCATCCGTTGTTTTGTCTGCATCAGGGCTAAGAGTTAGATTTTGATCCTCTGATACAACCTCCTCTACATCTGGAGACAAGTCACAGACTTTAACATCTGTTAGTGTGGGCGTTTGAATTTCCTCTCCTACGTTTTTCTCTTTCCCTTTTGACATTTTTTCTTGTGAGGGTTTCCTTGATCTCAAGACCATGTTCTTACTCTCCTTCTCCGGCACCTTTACCTCTGGGGGTGCTTCTTTTGCCTCTTGTTCTACTGGTTTTACATCCAGGCTCTTTTGGGACATTGTTGGTTTTAGGTTCTTCCGGCTCCTGCTTTGTACTTCTGTAAATTGTTGATTTGTATTTTCTTGGTTTGCTGGTTTGGCTTTACAGATTGACCCCCTAGGGCGACCTACTGAAGCTTTGATAGGAGTGGTGTCAATAGAGGATAAACCTTCTGCAGGCTTAGGACCAGGCTTTTGACCTGATTTTGCAGCTGGTTTGGGTACGGGTTTCAAACCTGCTTTCGGTCCTGGCTTCCGTTTTACTATTATTTCAATTTTAGGGGGTAGTTCAGAATCATTTGGTACAGGTTTTTGTCCTGGTTTTGGAGTTAGTTTTGGACCAGGCTTTAGGTTAGGTTTAGGTCCTGGTCTTGACCCTGGTTTTGCTCTAGCCTTTGGTCCAGGTGTTGCACCTAGTTTAGACCCTGGTTTAGGCCCAGGCTTAGCACCAAGTTTTGGACATGGTTTTCTCTTCACATTAAGGTCAGCTTTGGGTGGCATGTCAGGTGCGTTAAATGATCGAGTGCACATTCTTGATTGAAAAGCGTCTGCTGGCATTTTGGGAGTCTGACCCACAATAGACTCTTGATGAACCAAGCTAGTTTGATCTGAAATCAAAGCAGTTTTACTTGAAGGCATGCAGGTTTTTTGTGTCGTAAAATCGTCCTCCTTTTCTCCCCCTCTCTCCAAGCTTAACTGTCGCCGAATTCCCACAACTGATTGCGTTATTCTTCTTCTGCCCCTGGTGTGTTTACGTCCAAATGCCCTTGGCTGAGCAGATGGGGCCACAGGCTCTGGTTTGGCCAGTGGGGTCACGGCACTGGCACAACTGATGCCTGGTTCTACGTCCTCATCTCCTTTTTTGGGAGAAGGTGGAGTGTCGGCCCAGGATGGGGCTGAAGGAAGTATTGACTTTCCCGGTAGCTGGGGAGAATCTGGCTCCAGTACTTTAGCATCACTGTGATCAATATGATCCCTTGTTTGACCTGGAGGCGCTGCCTTGTCGTTGAGAGCAGAAAAGACTGGCGTAGCAGACTGTGACTGAGGAGCTGTGTCACCAATGGCTGACTCCCTTGCCGATGCATCTGCTGCTGTGGTTGCTGCTGCTGCATTTAGATGGCTTGGTGCCCCTGCAAAGTCACCGTCAGCACTGAGCACACAACTCTGATTCTCTGTCCTGCTGCAGAGATCTGCTGAACAATTCTCCAGGTTGTCTCTATTATTTATATGCTCTTGAGCCAATGACTGGGTTTCTTTCTCTCCCTCTACAGACTCTTCCCTTACTTCTTCAGAGACAAGTGGGTAAAGACATGCTTTTAGTTTTTTCTGTATTTTGAAATGTTCCTCTTCAACAACTTCCTCTCTTACCTCTTCCTTTCCCCCTTCTTCATTCTCCTGATCTCTACTCTCTCTTTTGTCTGAGCTGCTGTCTTCCAAGACATCAACTTGGGGGGTTGGAGAGGTGTTCTCTGAGCTCTCATCTTTCTCTGTAGAGTATTGATCCTGCTCAAGGTCCCCCCTTGAAGTAAAAGGCAATGTTTTCACAGAACTCTCAGATGCAGTTGGAGATTCTGATTTGAATGCCTCTGATTTCAATTCTTGTCCAAAGTGCTCTTTGTTACTGGAGTCAGAGAGAGCTGCTGGGGACTGTTCAATGGAGTCTCTCGCATCTGAGTCATATTTACCTTGACCCTCTCGATATACCGTCTCTTCATAGCAATAGCTTTTTTCTGTCATCTCTGTGTTTACTTTGCAGTAGACATCTGGACATTTTTCCTCATCTGACCATTTTTCTTGCTTCTCTGTAGGATTAATCATGTTTCCATCACTCGCACAGTCAAGCGCCTTTACTGTTGTCATCTCTTCTTTTTCCGCCAACTTTTCTGTCCATGCTGATTCTTCAAAATTTTCTTTGATAGACTGACTGATGTGTTGCATATCTGAAGGTGAATCTCTTTCTTGTTTCATAGGGCTTGGAATTGTGATGCATTTTGGAGACATCTCGTCAGTAAGGCTCTTCACTGGAGTCCCCATGCTATCTCCCCCTTGCCCTATTTGACATCTGGTAGGGTCAGGGGTTAGATTGTGCAGACCCGAATCCCCCGACCTTGTGGACATGTCGTCTGGAGATGCAATGGAGCAAGATGAGGCTGTGTCCAGACTTAGTTGCGTGTTGTTATGGGCCTGCGCTGGACTTCTGCCCTGGCCAAAGTAGTAGTAGCCCCTGTCCAGTGGCTCATCACTACTGCTGGAGTAGCCGCCCTCATGGAGTTCCATGGGCAGTGACTGGTGCTGTGGGGTAGAATAAGGGTCTTGGATGGGGCCCCCACCCAAATTACTACAACTATCTGGATACGGAGGACTTTTATATTCATCGCCCTTTTTAGAGGATACTCCACTTCCACCACTGCTGTTGCTCCCACCACTGCTACGCTTACTACCCTTCTTGTTGGCAACCAAGGCCTCAGAAAGCAACAGTTGCTGGACATTGTTGGAGATATTCTCCACCTGAGAGGTGAGAGCATTCAGACTCCATAAGCTGGGGTTTGACAGTAGTTTTTCTGAGAAGCGCTCCTTCAGAGTGGGTACTTGTGGTGTGGTGGTGTAGCTGTGGGGAGTTGCATGGGGAATGTTTGGTGAAGGGTGTGATCGTGGGGGCATCAACATGGTGTTGGCACTGGCTTGCTCTTGTAGTCCAGCTGAAGAGGATGATGAAGAGGAGGCTGCTCCAGGTGTCATGGGCGGCTGCCCATATTGGAATGACTCTGGATTGGTCATTAGAGGTGAAGGGGTGGAGCTATACGAAGGTGAGCGCCCTACAGAGCGTGCGGGAGAGTGACTTGAGGAAGGGCTGCATGTCTGATAATATTGTTCTGGAGATCTGACAGGCAGCTCTGAGAGACAGTAGCTCTGTTGGGGTTGGTTGAAGTGTTGGTATTTAGAGAGGGGTTCTTGTGGGTTGGTCATTGTCTGTAAAGGGGGCTGCTGCTCAAAACCTCTGGGGTTTGACTGCTGGTACCCGTAACTGTTCTGGGGCGACCTATAGGCCCCCTGCTTCAAACCGCCATGGCTACTCATCTGTCTGCCATATTGAGAATTGGGAGGCATATTGTACCCTTTATAACAATGGGGCATTGGACTGCACTTTTCCATGTATGACGAAGGGGAGGGGGAGTGCTGCGAGTAATGTAAGTGACTCTGGGGGTACATGAGAGGTGATGGGGAAGGGTTAGGAGGGTGAGGCTGGTGGTGGGGGCTTGAATAATTAGGGGTAGATGGCTGATGGCACTGGGGTTGAGAGTGCCCAAGCATGTTTGAGTCCATGAACTGGGAGGAGCTTGGTGTAGGTGCAGCACCAGCTTCCAAACGTCCCACCATTTCCTGTTCATACTGTGCCAAATGGGCTGGGTCCTCCCACTTCTGCTGGAGGTGACCCTCGCTCATATACTGGGCAGAATAATTTCCAGGGCCCATTGGATTAGAGTAGCTTCCAGGACCCTGCATGTGCTGCCCTGGGTTAGGTGGGGGTACTTTGCCTCCTCTAAAACTTTTTTTTGCTTGTGTTGCTGCTGAGCCCCCATTTCCACTGCCATTTCCTCCACCATTACCTTGGTAACTAGTGTAGGTTTGCTGGCTGTAACAGTCTTTGGGTCCTCCGATTCCTGCTCCACTGGCTGGAGGCAAATTAGCCGTGTTTGCCAATGGATGGGCCTGATAGCCTGACCTGTTGTGCCCTGGGCCTGGGCCTGGATGCGGACCAGGCCCCGGGTGAGGGTGCTGGGGGTGGGGATGGTGTGGGTGCTGCCGGTAGGTCTCCAGGCGAGATAATTCTTGGGGCTCCTGCTGATAGCAGGGCTGGTTGCTGTGGTAACCACTGCTGCGCTCACGGAAGGACTGCATCACTTACTCTGTCTGCAGCCTGAGAAAGGAGGGGGAGGTGAGGTGAGGTTAAAAGGGAGGGGGGGAGGAGGAGGGGTCAGGGGTTCTGAAGATAGGGAGACAGAAAGAAGAGGAAAGAGACAAGATATTGTGATGGTTAGTTTGAGTTTGAGTTGAAACGTTCTGCTTTCTAACAGATGAAAACTACATGTGAACCCGTTTAGTAGAGGAAACATGGGATGTGTGTATGTTGGTGTATTTGTAGCAGATTCCTGGATCTCTGGAAGGTTTGATGTGTAACTGAGTCTCAGGAGTTTACAAAGTTAAACTTCTTGTTCCCACGGAAACATCACTTACAATGCAGACATCATTTAATGTATCTTCATATGCTGCTCTTCCTCTTCCATGCTGTTCCCTCCAAGGGCAAGATGGAAGATATATCCTATGTGTCTGTGTGTGTGTGTGTGTGTGTGTGTGTGTGTGCCAGTTTCAGCACAATAACCCAGCTTTCAATCCACTCTGGGGACAGTGATGTGTTCCAACAGACACACAGCAGCATTCATCTCTGAACATCCCATGTGTAATAATATGTGTAACGTGTGTGTGTGTGTGTGTGTGTACTTGTTTTTATTGCTCTAAGTGGACACATTTGAACTTAAACATGTAACATGTAGACATTTCCGCATTGTGGGGACATTTTCTAGTCCACACATTGCTAAGCCCCCACAAAGCTTGGTTTTAGAGGTATGGTGTGAAGTAGCTGTTAGGGTTAGGAAAAGAACCCCGCTGGTTAGGGTTGGCGCATGGGTTAGGCATAGTAACTTCACAAAAATGAATGGAAGTCAATGAAGAGTCCTCACATGTATACCAACATGTATGTGTGTGTGTGTGTGTGTGTGTGCTTCTGTGCATGTATTCATTTTTTGTGTTCATGCCTAAGTCTGTGTTTGGATCAATTTGTGTTATACAGTGCATGTTTTCAGTGTCCAGCAATCACTTAAACACTGCGCACACACACACACGCGCACGCACGCACGCACGCCCGCACACACACACACACACACACACACACTGACAAATAGACACGCAGATTTCCACAGAGACGCCCCACCTGCCCTTTCTACCCCTCCATCTGCCCTGCCTCCAGTTCAGCCTCAACCTGCAGGGATATTTGTGTGTGTTGGGATTCTTATTTACTCCAAGTAAGGCGACACAAAATGGGATTCTCCCATTTTGCTGAGCACAGCAGTCTGAACACATCAAAACACACTTTATTCCTAATCCAGTGCTTTGAGATTAAACATCCTTTTGAATGTGCATGTGTGTCTCTGTCACATATGTCCCCTTTTTTACTCTGGGTACCAATAATTCCCCTTTTTGCTGATTGTATCCTGCAAATATTCGAAGGACCCCTTCTACAAAATCAATTTACCCTCCCTCCTTCCCATATTTCCCCTCTAATTCAAACACACACACACACGTGTGTGTGTGAGCATCTACATTCCAATCACGTCTCCTTCCCACCTCCCCCTTCCAACGTTATCTTCTTCACAGAGACTGGGCACCGTGGAGTCGGCCGATTGCCTTGTTTGTGGATGCGCTCCGTCTCGGCTACGGCGAGGAGCAGAAGATGAAGTATACATGCTGAGATCACCAAATCTTCCGTTTATTTGTCTGTCTACTCCTCCGTCTGGTTCTTGGGGCTCACACTGATTCACCACTGCCAGATAACAGAGTAGGAGAAGCTCACTCACATTCAGCAAGACGCCCACATGTTCATTGTTGTTTTGCAGTATAATGCCCCAATTCCTCCCCCATTTAATTCTTTTCCTTCTTTCAATTCTTTTAGTGGCATTTTTCACCACAACATTATCCGCAAAAGGAAAGACCATTCTCCTCTTCGCTCCACCATACCTCCCTTGTTTTTTCCCTCACTCGCTCTGATAGAGAGAACGCCAACGAGAGGGGAAGACAACGAGGGGGTCTAACGGGAGGAGGGAGGGGGAGAGATGGACTGCGAGGAGGATGCAACAGCAGGGAAGGAGTGATAGAATGATAAGTTTGATGAGGAGGATGGGGGGTGTGTGTGGAGAGGACATGGGAGGATAAATGATTTACTGAGTGGGCTTTACAGCTCAGGCTCCTGGGAAATATGAGCAGCAGCAAATGCTGCTCACACATTAACATGCTCTTTACATGCACATGGGCCGATGCATGCAACATCAGAGATAGAGTGTGAGCTTTCAAGGTGGCAGGGTAGTTAATTAGTAAATCTCCAGCTCTACAGGCGCGCTGCTAAATGAGTGATTGATTACAGCGGCCGCATCCACTTCTCTTCCAAACGTCTGCCTTTGAATGTTTCTGAGCTTCATCATTCCCAGGTGCAGCATCCAGAGCGTCAAATCTGTTTTCTAGTAAAAGATTGCCAAGAAGGATAGAGAAAATGAAAAGGGTGAGACAGAAAGGGAGAGAGAGAGAGAGGGGGACAGACAGAAGGGTGAATTTGATTGTTCCGCTGGATGATTCATAATACGCAGAGCTGCGACTGGTTCCAGTCCCCCTTTCATTCTGTTTTATCCTCTCTTTCTCTCTTTCATCACATCATCTTCAGAGGCAGCTTGAGATGGGATTTATCACTTTTCTCAAGACACACACACACACACACACACACACACACACACACACACACACACACACACACACACACACACACACACACACACACACACACACACACACACACACACACACACACACACACACACACACACACACACACACACGGGCATGCATCTGTGGAGGAGCGCGAGGATGGAACGTCTCTCTGCGTGTTTACCTCCCCAGTCATCCTGGTTAATTATGCATGCAGAGGCAGTTTGCTGGGAAAGGTGGAGTGGCCTTGGAGGAATTGCACACACACACACACACACACACACACACACACACACACACACACACACACACACACACACACACACACACACACACACACACACACACACACACACACCCGTGTCTAACACATCTGCCCTGAACACTCTGCTTACAGCGTGCTCCAAAATAACACAGCGACCCGCCCTGTCGCTGCTCCCCAATCAGCTCTCTGCAATCCCTTCCCTAATTACCCACACTTCAACACGACACAGACAGCATCCCGATGCCTCCAACTGTCACGCTCCTCTTTTCAGACTTCCTGCCTGCGTGCTTGCCTCTTTGTGCCCTTTTACTTGATAACCTGAGGCTTTGCCCGACGGATGGACTGACGGAGTAACGAGTGGATGGACAGACAGCTCCCCTTCTCCCTCCTCCTCTTTCTGCAGCTTCTGGCCAGGCTGCGTGGGTGGCTTCCTACCCAGGAGAGAGGCTCAGGAGATTGAGGAAGCCAATATCTGCTCCGACATTTGTCAGTGTCCCGTTGTCATGACACCCAGCTGGAGGTTATGGGGGGTCACTGGCAGCCAGTCACGTAGATTAGGAGATAGCACGAAGAGGAGTGATTGGATGAAACTCATCTAAAGGGATTATAAAATGAGGGTAGTTTGTAGAAGGAAATCATAAGACGAAAGGAAATTATTTCAGGTGATGATCTGGAAAATCTAAAAACTCTAAATCCTCTGAGTTGTGATCTATTCACAGCAAAATATCTTGTCTCGGTTGCCTGTAAGGCTCTACTCTGAGCTTTGAGACTGGAATAAAACCAATCAGTGAGGAAAACGAGCCCGGCCAATTTTTAGTCCTCTGATGATGTGAGGTGTGTGTGTGTGTGTTTGTGTGCAACATCATGTCGTCTCGTCTCATCTCTGGGGTTTAGGGATGACTCATCCACAGACGCGGCTGGCTTTTCCATCACAGATGACACTCCCTACAGACACACACACACACATAAGCGCACATGCACGCACACACACGCACGCACACACAGACGTTACTTAAGCCCAACAGACCGGTTGAAGAGGAGAGAGACCTTTTGTCTGCAGACAGACAGGAAGGCAGACTGCTGCAGCTTCAGCAGGAAAGAACAAATAAAGGTCAGAGACAGAGAGGCAGATGTGTCCATTTTGACAGCTCGTAAAGCAGGATGTGGAGGCAATTCTGACCCGCTGTGCTGTAAAACAGCATTACCTCTCTGTTTATTAGATAAAAAAAGAGGAAAAAGTGGAGTTTTTTAGGAGTTCTGGGCTAGATTTTGTGTAGAACGTAGCTGGAATACATTTCCAATCTTTGGACTGGTTTGACTGACATTTTCCTGTGAAGTCCACGGACCTTCCGGAGAGATGAAACTTCGCAGTGGGACACGCTTCTTGTCAAAAAACAAAACAAAACAATGACAAAGTTACCATGGTAACTGCACGAAAGAGGAATCAGGAAATTAACTATAAAGAATCAAGTGAATGTAACAGGATGAACTATCATTACGTGCAGCCTTTTAACGTTTTTTAGCAGCTTGACCACGCGTTCCTCGTTCCCACAAGCACCCAAGGGTTTTCCCTTTCCAGTAAAATCACACATCCACGAGCACATCTGGGCACTTTGGTGGAGCACAGCTGGTAGACCACCACTCTATCATGGAGCTGTCAATGTGAACATGTGTGTCACACAGGAAGACTGATGAAACACGCCATAAACACGCTCATCTATACTCAAGAAACATGGTGAAAATTGAAAATTTTTCTTCTCAAGGTGGAGATTTGTATTTATGTTATGTAAAATCAGAGCGATCGGGTCAGAAATACTGAACTGTGAAAAAGTCTTTTTGCATTTTTTTTGTCACTTCAGATCAAAACAGAAATTTCGGTGTCATAGAAATATTAAAATAAAAAAGAAATAAATGCTAAATGTAGTTTTCTAATGATTACCAAGAAATGAAAGCTTTAACCAACCAGGCTTGTGTGCCAAAGTAAACACATTTATGTCTTTAATGCAAGTAGGAACCTTTTAAAAACCACAACGTGAACATCAAAAGGACAGAGGGCCCTATTACCGACGCTGCATAATGATTTTTACAGGTGAACCAATCAGAGGAGACCGGGCTTTTCATAATAAAATGACGTTTTAACTATTGAAAATAAAAGCCTGTAAGCAATTCAGCCTCAGCCTCCTATACGT